AACATGAAGTATCTCTTATTTTTTAAATAAACTGCAACAATATAGGAGGTAAGAGCTAATATGAGCACTGTAAATAGTCAAGAGAAATCAACATTTTTAATATTTCGTAAATTAAATTGCCTTTGTAGAAATGTGGCATCTCAAATACTCTTACAGAAATGTCAGAAAAAGACATAGTGTTAAATTAGAAAAATATGTAGCTTTTGAAATATACACAGATTTGGGACCAGGATTAGAGGCCCCAGGCAGTAGGAATTGTGGATGTCATACAGTATTAATTCATGGGAGAATCCACTAACTCACATGCCACAAACTCAAAAAGAAAAAAGCAGCGAATCTGTCGGCTAGGACAGAGACTAACTTATCCTTTTGATAAAAAATTTTAAAAATGCTATACATGGATTCTACAAAAGAAAAGTAATTTACCAGGTAGGAAACAAGAAGCAAATGATAACTAAAGTGTCAGAAAACGGCTACCCAGAACACAGCACTTAAATTAGTTCAAGAATTGCAACAATGAATGGGGAAACATCCGATTCTTGATGAAAAGAATTTTGGGGTTATGAAAGTTTGGGCAAAATTAATTCACTATGACATGGTGTTTTCTAGTTCTACAGTCCATCTTTGCAGAAGTAGCAGAAAGAGAAGGTATTGAGGAACCCTAAAGGACCATAAGCACACAGACAAGAAAGCTCTGTTTCACTGGATCCTGAGAATTTGTACTGAAAAACCCCAACCCTCCTCCCACACCTTTGCTAATAGCAATTTCTCCAAAGGAAACACTTGGAGACCATTCTCTGCGATTTCTCTACCCCATCCCTGGGAAGGATAAAATAACAGGGAGGGGCAAGATAGTTGTCATCAATACTCGGAGCAGGTTTTATACTGGGGAGAGGTGAGTCTCCCCTTCTACAAGTCTAGAAATCTTGAAGGAAGTGTTTTGCATTTTGGACTTCACACTTCCCCAGCATCGACTTTCTGATCTGTGAACACCAACCACACAGGATGCCTAGAAGACTTTGAAAAACTCAGAGGAAGAAAGGAAAGCTACTAACCCACTCTCCTTCTAAACAATATAGAGATCCTAGAGGGAGACCCAGATCCATCTTCATGGAATCCTACAGAAAGGCTGCCTAATTTAAATGTCACCAGCACGCACAACCTTCTGAGAATTCCAGCACTGCTAACTTTTTACAGTCTCAAATTTTTAAAAACAATAAAAGGCCACCCTACTGACCATAACTGTTTGTATTTGTACTTATAGTTCATTCAGTATGCAAACCTAGCATGCTAACTTCATGTGCTATGCTACCCATGTAATCATGTGGAAGGATACACTGCAGTAAGAAGCTCTATATGCTGTGCTCTCTACTGAACTTTTGGTTTTAATTAACACATTTACCATAAAAAATATAAAAGATACCCTTTTCTAAATATAAGCTTCCAGATACCTTCTGCAACAGAAGATTCCCAGAGTATTTAAAGAGTGAACAGCCTCTCCTGAGACTGGCAGAATCAAGAAACACTCCTTTTGACATATAATCATACGACCCAATTTCTTTCTCTCATTTGCTAATGACACAAAAGGCACTTTGCAAAAACAGTTTACTGCACTAAAAAGACATATCACAAAAATTAATTTCTACCTGTCTTGCATTTTAGCAACTAGAAACAAGACATAACTAGCAGCATGTAACCGACCAATTCTCTCCATAGATTACTAGCAAAGCCTACATGTCTTCAGAAATATTCTGATTTACGTAGTCTGTTCTTTAAAGTTATTTCTGAATATAATAGATGTAAAAGAAAGAAGAAAAGATACATAAAGTTGAACAACAGGATAATAAGTCTGTGAGACATTTCAGGAACATTTGTTCTCTAACTATTTCTACAGATACGTGAAGCTACATTTTTGTACAACATGGCAGAGAGATGACCACTATGCCGTATCAGCTGATACGCAAATAAGATATCTCCCACTTGTGAGGCTCAATGTCTAATACAATACAAATTCAATAGGCAAACTGTTCCCCAGGCAGTAAAAAGCTGTAGATAGCTTTAACAAGTGACTAATTCAAGCATCTATCCTTGATTTGGTGTGAAACTCACCTCTGAAATCCAATCAACAGATTTTGCACTTACTGTAGTTATGACAGAAGTCAATGGCCTTAAAATGTTTTCACCTCTCAGAAGTTAAGATTTAAGCAAAAATGTCTGTTTAAGCAAAATATTTACATCATAATAACTAACCCAAATCTGTTACTCTCTAAAACACGTCTTCAGTAATTTGAAGAGCTGCCTACCAGCAAGAAATTCACACCCTTGAGGCAGAAGCACCACATCGGGCATAGTAGTTTAAAGAAAATTCGGACCTAGACATGCCCAAAAGAAAAAACAAGACAGCTACATCCTTCAACTGGGAAGACTCAATCCCAGATTTGGCCACAGGAGGTGTCAGAGGACTGACTTTATAGAAGAAGCTTAATTGCTTCATCACTTATTCCATCAACATAACAGGAACTGAGAGAAACTACAAACTTAGTAACATGTTTAGCAATATATTCCTGATTTTTGTTTTAAATCAACATATTGATGCTTGAATGATTAATGAGAAAGTGGCATCCCGTTTCCATAGAAGATGCAATTTTGAGCACCTTTTAGCATAGAATTAGATCAAGTTTAACTGCTTTAAAAAGCTGTCCTCCATGTCCAAGACTTATGTATGCTACAACAGACTCATGTAACACACAAAACAATCATCTTGGCTAATGTATTTCCCTTTTTATGTACCATAAGAGACAACTGTTGTGATTTTTTTATACTACCTCAAAAACAAATAAAAAAATACGGCAAAAACATTCCATTTTATCTATATCAAGTCATGTAGTGCTATTGTCACTATTTGAGTTGAAATGGTTAAGCACTGCTTTTAATTACACCCAAGTAACTTTAATGAGAGTGAATACTCTAGCAACATCTATAAACACAATGACAACATTAGCCGAACACCAGTTGTGAAACCCCTGCCAACATTGCTTGTACAGGGTTTATTTTTGTTTTGTTTTAATCAAGATATAAAATTCTTACCAAGTTCTGCTGTTTGGGGTATTTGCAGAGCCTTGCAAAAATCTGTAAGACTAGGCAGCTTTAAAGAATGTAACACACAGTAGTAAACATGGTAAGAAAAATGCTTTTGCTAATCTTTTTCTTTCAGATTACAATATCTCCAAATACTGGCAGTTTTCCACCATATTACTTTTGTCTGTTGCTCCCTGTGAATCTTGGCCTGCAACCCTGTAAACCTGAAAGTTTTGACAAAGTGAACAGCAATTTGGAGTGCACTAGTAACACAGAATGAGCCCTAACCAGGCCACTAGCATCTTAAGTGACTGTGGTAGGATGTATGTCACTTGTTGGCAACTACCTCTTAGTGCACTGTTGCACAGAATAGGCAGAAAGAAATTATTACAGTTTTAAGATAATTACTTTGCAAGTACATAGGGAATTTAAAAACAAACAAACAAACAAAAAAAAACCAAAACACCACACAGAAAGGCAGAGTGTACATAGGATATTTCTACAGACATCATTAAACTGTTGAGGTAGGAGAGAATTTGGCACTCAGCAGGCTGACCATAAACTTTAAGAAAACAGCCTGGAACTCCTCTGCACTGATTTTGTCTTGGTTTTGTATTAAGTTGGTGGTTTTAACAAATAAGAAATAACATAAAGATTCTTCAGAAAATAATCTTTGTTCTCCCCTGTTTCTCCAACAGACTTGCTCACCAAAGTGGGATAATGCTTTCAAAAGATGTATGTGATTTGAAACTGAAGGCACATTTTCAAAAGTGACTAAAGGGCTGATTTTCAAAGGCATTAAGATACCTAAAGATTGCATTAAGCACTTAGAATTTTTAAAACTGCCTGGGCATCTAACACCTGTTTAAATCACTTAGTCCTCTGTGAAAATCCCAATGGGCAGTTATCTACATTTTATGTGTCTATATGCCTTTGAAAATCTGTACCATTAAATACTTAACAACCTTAGTCCCCCTGCCTTTTAATGAGACTTAGGGTCCTAAAAAGTGTAAGTACTTCTGAAAATTGGTCAAGCCACTCTCACTAGTCTTCTTTCTTTTAAAAAGCAATCTACTAATGCTTGTCCGTAGCATGTCAGTTAAGTACAGCTTCAACACAGCAGCCTTATACATTATACTGTGTACATTCAATTTTTATGTAACTAAACAAAGGTTCTGAGTACAGACTGCATCCTTAAAAGGCTTTCTGAAACTCTGGAAAAGAAAATTAATTCCAACCTGTAACCCCTGCCAATGCTCAAAATTCATTGTTTCAATAAATACAATCCAAAATTAGAGTAATTTAGGCTGATAGAAAACAAACAGCATAGTTTAATTACCGATCAACATATTCAAATTACAACAAACAAGTTCTGAGAGACAGCCACAAAAAAATATTCAGAGAAAAACTAGAAAAAGGAGTAAGCTGTGAACAAGCTCTTTAAAACAGGCAGCAGTTCCAGAAAAGACGACAAGCCTTAATTCTGAAATTTCTTTTTTAAACAAAATCGTATGAAACTATAAAGCATTCCCTTATGCAAACATTTGAAAGATTTATCTTCTGATCTACTTTAATGTCAATGGGAGGTAACTTGCCCTGACCAAATTCCCAAAAAGGAACTGATTTGTAAATTAGGAACGCAGGGAATCAGATTGCCACCTACAGGAAAATTTAGCATTTATTGTCAAGAATGACTCAAAAAGAATACAAATTGCCATCCTGCCAAGCACTCTTTCAGTTTTAGTTATTTCAAAAACAATTACTATTCTCTTTTGTGTAACTATATCATGAACTTCCTAAATCCAGAAATCTATTAGCATTTCTTTTTATTTAAGAGAATATTGCTTGAAAGTTCCATAATTCAACTACAAAGCAGCAGATTGTAATCATGTTTCAGTTAAAAGAATTTTAAGTCTGCTTACCTGATACAATTGGTGCTAGCCTGAATATGTCTGATAGTCTGCTGTTAACTGGCTCATAGGGAGAATCTTCAAGCAAGTCATTTCCTAAAGACAAAAAAATATGTGGTTACTTTCTTTTTGCATAAAAGATTTCTATAAGATTCTGTTGTTTACTTTTACTCTGAAATGAAGCTACTCTGTAACTGCAAAAAGTACTCCCCTCTAATTTTTGTGGCTATTTCTCCTCAAATCATTATCTATAAAAACACCCAAAAGAAAAAAATTGTTTATCCCTGTCATTAGTTTTTCTTTCTTTCCTCCATGGATAAGGACATAATTTGCAGAGACAGCCTGTGACATCACAGGGGCTGTCCCATTTCATGCCAGCAGGCAAGAAGCTGTAGCTGGGATGTCCCTCTTCATCTACCCTCACAGCAAAGCCTTTTACAGCAGCCCAGGTAACAGCCAAAACCCAGTACCTTTGGAATAAAACACTCCAAACAAGATGCTGTTGGAAGGGAAACTTCTTATGATGCATAAAATATCCAAAAATTGTGTAATTTCTTATGAAAGTTAGAAGAAAAACCATACATTGACTCATTCCAATTGATGCCTGGATAGATGAACAGAAAAGGATAACTTCCTTTTTTGCCTAAGCAGCTACAGAAAATGGGGACCACACTGAAGTGACAGATTGCATCTTCAACTTCAAGGCCAGAGCAAAACAGTGCTGAAAATTCTCTCTCTCATATGGGGACCTGACTCTCTTCAGTAGACTATGGAAAATTCTACAAGTGACATCAAGAACAGAAGTCCCAAGTCAATCACTGTCATATCCCTTCTAACTGGCACTTCTAAATGCCCTAGGAAACACAAATCTCTTTTTTTCTGTCTCAGCATGCCCAGGGAATATTGCTAGTAAATAGAGGAAAGAATAAACTTTTCCTTAAAACAATGCTCCTCTTCACTATACATCTTACTTTCAGCAAAGAGACATGAAACTAGTTCATATCCTGTGATCTTGGTAGGTGAGTCCTAATTAAGGAGTTTAAATATTAGTAGGAAAATGTCTCCAAATGACTGTTTTTGTAGCTTTTGCACTTGCTACTGCCCTTATCTTTTGACTCTGGTTTAGAAAGGTCAGCTGAGTCCCCTGGAGGAAACCCTCATTGTGGATTTCCCAACAACAGGAGATGGAGCAGCAGCTGTTCTTGAGTCAGATGAAAGGTCCTCAGTTTGCAGCTGAAAAGAACAATGTGAATTATGGGGTCAGACCCCCGGTTTAGCCTCAGCGGCGGTAGCTAGCTGCAGACGTGAGGGGCTGCGAAATCACAGGCTGCAGTAGGGGAGCATAACGTTTCTGTTTTGCAACGTACCCTGTAAGCTCTGGTACATGCTCCAGTAAATGCGCAGGCAGTTTTTCTCCTTCTTCATGCCCCTCTTACAGCGGCAGTTGTACAGAGATTTCTGCTTGAGAGCTTCCATGGCGCTTCTGCATTCGTCCTTTGCCTCCAGGCCTGTCGCCCGGCTGAAGTTGCTCTCTTTGCCGGCTACACACTGCCTCAGTGTCCTGTATTTAGTACTACAGCTCTGCTCCTTGAGACACTGATCGCTGGCTTTCACACAGTCGAGGCGGTCCCCCCCAGGCAGCCCACTCACTTCTGCGGACAGAAGTACATCTAGAGAGAGGAGACACAAACCAACAGACTCTGGTTGAGGGATGGGGCTGATTATCCCGAGCTCCAAAGCATGAGGAAGCACAAGCAGCACACACAGCCAGCCCCATGGGCAGCACCTTGCAAACCTCAGGGCTTCGTGCTACACCTCAGGAAAACGCACTCGGGGTTTTCATGGTCTTAGCTCCACTTTTGAGGGACTCCAAGGAAACAGTACGTTTCAACTCTGCTGGATGATTTATGAGCAAACACAAAAAAGGAAAGAAAACCCACAGGGGTTAATATGCCTGACAAAACAAGCATTCATTATTCCTTAGATCCACTTTGGTGAAACAAATAACCTTTCCATTTGAGCGTTTAACTGAGGGGTTAAATATTCGGCCTCACTTTCCACAAGAGCTTTGCTGTAATTTCAATTACAGCCACAAACAACCCGCTCAGGGAGATAAGAATCCGCACTGATTGATATTAGCCTCTTTTTGCGTCAGTCACTTTTTACAGGCTGTACACATTTTTGCTTATTCTACATATATAAAGGTAGAATCCATAACTTCCCCCCCCTCCCCGTTTCTCTCCACGTATGATGCTTTTGCAGGAGAACAAAGCAAATTACATTAACTCTCTCCTCTCCATCGTGCCCCCTGTCACGCTCCCTCAGACACACGCAGATGGTAACGCTAACATCTGTGGAAAGGAAACCAGTTTGGGCTGCAAACCGCTCACAGCCGGGCAGGCTGCCAGGTTCAGGTGAAGATGTAATCCTTCAGCTGGCTCTTGGCATCCCCTCCACCCTCCCCACGCAGCCTTATTTTATTAAAACGAAAAGTTTCCCTGTAACTTGCGAGAACCGAATTTAACAAGAGGCTACGCAGGCGAGCATCTCAGCCTGTCATCTCCCAGAGCTTTAAATGCAGACTAGGTTAACTGATGTGAGGCAGAACCCTAAAAACTACGGGAAACTTCACTGTTCTGCCTAAACAATAGACTGACAACCGTCAGGCACCCGGTCCCAGAAACCCTGTGCTTTGCTTCATGAAGCGATGTACAGAGAGAAAGCAGATACCAGCAACTTACCCACTAAGGGCAAAGCGAAGTACAAGATAGCGAGAAACATCTTGCTGTCTTCGGATGGTTTCCCCAAACGAGCTGATGTGCCACAACAAAGAGGATCAGCATGTAGATATTCCAAAACGGCCGAGGTCCAAAGACTCCAAGTTCACATCCATTGAATTGAAGGAAAAATAAACCCCTCTCTCCTCTCCACCCCCGCCAGCGGCAGGAGCAGCGACGCAAACGCTGAGCTTTTTCCTTGAGATTTCAGGTCTGAGCAACCTGAGAACACAAGCACCGACTTCAGAGAGGGAGCGAGAGGCGCACGCACGGGTATATGTGTGCGCGAGCGGGAGCGGGGCAGGAGCGCCGGTCGCCTCCTTGGGTGGGCAGCGCCTGCTCCCAGGGAGGGACCGAGAGCACACGCGGGGCGGGGGGAGGACGGGACACACCAG